AGGAGGAAAATGGAGAAGGGACTGTAGCAGGGCCATCTCCCTTGGGGGGTTTATTTCTTTTTTTTTTTTTTTTTTTTTTTTTTGTCTCTCTGTCAGTGAGTGCACACTCCTTATAGCAAAAATTTCTCTAAAAAAATTATAGTGGAAAGGATAAAGATCGTAGGAGAAAGAGAGCAGAGAGAAAAACTGGAGAGCAGACCAAGGGGCAGAAGAAATACAATAGAGTAAACCATGGGCCATGGCTACTTTAAAGGCACACACACAGTGGGTGCAGGTTCTTCCATTGTAATGCAGCCCCAGCTCCAAGCAAGTTAATGCCTTCACCTTACAGAACCTGGTTGCTTTTCCTGGAGTTCTGCCCTGGTCTGGAAGGCAGAATGAGCCAGATGGGTGGGGTGGGCTGGGCTCTGCCCCCTGCCAGTCACCTGGCTGCACCCTCACCTCCTGAGCAGAAGCTTGGGGTGGTTTTTGCTCTCCAGGTTCTTGTCGATGAGGTCAGCCAGCAGCTGCTTCAGCACATCGGTGGCATACTCCAGCTTGCTCTGCAACACGGTCATGATGAGTGAGGCCACGTTGCCGCGATCGCGCATGGAGAAGCTGCGCTGGGACTCCAGCGTGCGGATGAAGGACAGCAGGAACACCTTGTTGTTGATGAGCTGGGCGAAGAGCTTCAGGCCTTTCTCCACGCGCTCCTGCCTGTAGCCTGGGACCTGTAGAGGAGACCTAGGTGGGTGGGGGGGACTGATGCCATCTGCCAGGGGCCCTAGTGACCTCCCCAGGGGGTGGTTGATGTCCTATCTCACCTCTCACTCGCTCCAACTGGAACCCCATGGCCAATGCCATCAAGTCCTTACCAAGGGCTGGGCACTATGCTAAGTTATCATCTCAACCTCCATCGCAGCCCATGGGGGGATCGTTACCCCTAGATTAGAGATGAATCAACCAAGGCACAGAAAGAATGCCCCACAGGTAGGACATGGTGATGCTGGGACTGGACTCACTTCTGCCAGTTTCCAGAACACGAGCTCCTTCCTGATGGTGATGCAGAGCTGCTGAGGGGCCCACATAGGGCAGACCGTCCACACAGTCCACCATCCTCACGGCCCTCATGGGAATGCCAGGAGGCTGAAGCTACTATGGGAACCTGGCTGAGGGAACACCAGGCTGGGGTCTCCAGTCACATGAGTCCTATTGATAGACTGGTGGCCTCAGAGCCAGAACTTCTGGGCTCCACATGGATTCTGTGGCTGTATAACCTTGGACAAGTTCCTTTACCTCTCTGGGGACCCACATTTATCCACCTGAATAAAGGGGGAAGAGTGAGCCTAAAAGTCTCTAAAGAACTCCTTAACTCTAGCATCTGAAGTTTTCTTAGGGACTCTTTGTGAGACCCTGCTCCACCCAGGAGAGGAGAAGGAAGATGATTTTATCTTCCGGCCTACCTCATCAGTTCACTGGAAGATCCCTGTGAAAATGGACTATCCACTCAGTAAACACAAGTCTGCGACTGAGCTAGACCTGGAGGACACCTTCTGAGATGTACAGGAATGTGCACACAGCACTGTCGGTCACAGCCCTTAGCTAGAACACCCAGATGGCCAGCCACAACAGAGTGACAGAGTGGATCAAGGAACTGTAGTGTGCTCCTCCCATGGGGTACTCCACAGCAATGAGAATGAGTGGCCTACCACGACTCACAACAGGGATGACACTGGCAAACATATCAAATGAAAAAAGTCAGACATTCAAGAGGGCATGCTCTTTATATCACACCATTCAAATAAAGATTTTTAAAAACAGGTACAATTAATCAATGGTGGAAGGAAAATGGTCCTGGGGGAGGGAGGTGAGTGGGAGGGGCAACTGGGGGCCCTGCGGAGCTGGTCTAGTTCTGCTTCTTGATCTGCATGATGGCTTGATGGGTGCACTCACTTGGGAAATTTACCCAGCTATGCATGCACTACATGTATAATTTTGTTAAAGCCAAATTTTACTGGAAAAATCAACCAGCTCCATGGCACAGGAGTAATGCACTGCTCAAGAAAGCTGAATACCATGTGACAACTATGGTTCAAATCCCTAGCTTGGTCAGCCTGAAAGCAATCCCGGGCATGTGTATGAATGCCCATGATCCAGTGGCCCAGAGGAAGGGACTGTGGTGTGACTCCTGTGGAGGGTGGTCTCTCTCTGTCTCTCACTCTCACATGCACATACTTTATCATGAATAAAGAAAAGAAAGCAGGCCCGGCAGGTGGTGTAGTGGTTGTGGCACCAGACTCTCACATGCCCAACTGTGGTTCGAGTCCTGGACTCAGTGGCTTGAAACTCATGCTGGGCATATGTATATGCATGCCCAAAATCCTGAGAAGAGATTAGAGGAGAAGGGATTGTGGTGTGGCTGTCCCCCATGGGGAGTGATTTCTCACTTGCTCTCTCTGTGTCTCTGGTGAAAGCATGTGCCCTATAGCAAAAATCTCTCTAAAAAGAAAAAGAAGAAAGAGAGAGAGAGAAAAGAAAAGAAAAAAGGAAGGAAGAAAGGAAGGAACGAAAGAAGGAAGGAAGGAAGAAGAAAAGAAGAGCAACAATAGGCTCTGCCCTCAAGGGGGCCCTGTGAGAACAGGAATAGGGCATGTCCACTGGAGCAGAGTGCTGGAGGAGGCAGGGGTTGGGGACAGAGAGAGGAGGTACCATGGAAGCCACGTTTTGATCCTGTGTCCCTCGTGGGGACATACATACCAGCCGGGTCTTTGAGAAGGAGTGTCATATCCATGACAGTAAAGAAGTTCAGAGTCAGTTAAGCTCACGTCTAGTTCTGCTGCAGCCACTCCCAATAGCAGGACCTCGGTAGACCCAGCGCCTTCATCAGCAAAACGAAGGCAATAACAGCAAATACGCTTCTAGATCTTACTCTAAGCCGAGTACCGTTCTGTGGCTTTAGAGATACTGAGCCATTTAACCCATGCAGCACCCTAGAAGGCAGTTCTTATTATTACTCCTAGAGCCCCAAAAGGATAAGATGCTTTCTCAAGACTCTACAACCCAGAAGAGGGCCAGAAAGGGTCAGAGCGAGGCCATGGGCAGCAGTGATTTCGCCTCCTGCCGTCTCCTGGGGCTGTCGTGTGGACTGAGAGGATGTGTGAAAAGCCTGCGGTGCACAGCACAGCCTGACGCAGTCCTGTTACTAAGTGGCAGTAATTTTATCTTTCTCTACTCTCAAGCTTTTAGACTGGGAAAGACAGGCAGCCAGGGAAAGTCCCATTGGCCCAAGGTCATGAAAGATGGGGACATTAATGACTCTCAAACCTGAGCTCCTTGTGTTCTTCTGGCTCAGGGCAGGGATCAGTCAGACCCGGGCCCTACCCTTAGTGTGAGCCCCCTTGTGTACCCGCTCCTACTCTGCAGAGAAGAGCTGCCATTGAGCTCTCCTGCTGGCCTCCACAGCTCTCCTGGTCTGGAAGCTGGTGGGAACGCACTTGCCATATCAGGTCCATTTAGATTTCCCTCACTGTGGTGGTGCTGTTCCTTGGAAGGCCAGCTCTTAGGTGCGAGATGGGAACTGGCCAGAGCCAGCAGGCTCACAGTTAGGCTAGGTGCTAACTAGGGCCACCCCCGCAGCCCACCCTGACTGGGCTCTACCCATCCTAGAGAACTCATACTCAAGGTGGGCCCCACCTCCTCTGGCTTCCCCTGGTTCCTGTGCCACTGGGAGTGATGAGCGCAGGCCAAGAGCCATGTGGCAGCCTCACCTTGTCATCAGCCCACGCCTTAACCCACACCTCTGCCTGTCCCCCGCTGATCTCCCTCCGACTCTGTGGCTAGCCCCTTGCCTCTACTCCCACAGCACATACACGCTCACATCCTACTCTGTCCTTCACATCCTTGGAGCTGATCTCTGCAACCCTGTCTAGTAACAGGCAAGGCCATCTCTTGGGCCACCTCCGTGTACAATGCACAGGGCTGGGCACATCACCTACTGTGAAAGTTGTTAGCACTTTGTGCTAAGCCCTGACTAAATCATGCTGGAGAAGGCAACGGAAGGAGTGTTTTCTCACACTAGCATGACCGATGACAAGAACTGTCACAGGGACTCTGCCAGAACATGACCTTCACAGAGACCACTGCTACCTGACACAAGGACTCCTGCCCAAAGACTGCACAAACTCGGGCAGTTACCACCCTTGTTATTGATCCTGGTAGCCAAGGAGAATTGTCCCCCAACAACTGGTGCCATCCATCCTCCCCATCTTAGCATCATAAGACCTCAGAGCACGTGTTTGGGACAACCTGAGTGTGTCCGCCAGGTTGCAGTCCCTACACTTGGCTCAAATAAGCTCCTCTGATTTCCAAACTTTCCTCAGTTTACCTCTTAGGTTGACAATACAGCATTTCAATCAGGCAAGGCTGAGTTACGATCCCCTTTTAACAGTTTCTCAGTAACTGTTGAAGCTGTTAGGAGACTGCCCAGCTGGGGAAGGGCTGTGCTGGATTTCCAAACCCCAGTTCATTGGGCTCCTGAGTGCCTGTCCATCCTCCCCATCTTTTGCTGAATCTAGCCCTGGTCTGGACTTGGGAGCTGTCTAAAAGCTAACTCTGCCTTCCCTCTGCAGCCTTCCTGTGTGGGCCCCTGCAGCCTACATGGAAGTTTGTCACAATGGCACTTGGAGAGATGGATGAAGACACAGGGCCAGCTAGAGGGCACTGTTGGCGTGAAGATGCACTCTGGACTTCCTGCTGGCTGCACTTTCTCTGTGTGCAAAATGTACATGCCCTAAGGGCAGGAAGTGTCTGGGGTCATGGGAAGGAAGGTGTTCATAAAACCACTGCTGTGAGATAAGTAGGAGAGGGGGGTCTTCTACAAGTTCATAGAAAATGTGTATTATGAAAAAACTAAGCATGAATTCCAAAATTTTTTTTTTGCACCAAAATTAACTGATGTTTTAATTCTATGTTTTTACAAACTTGTTGAAGTTCTCTTGCAGGATGCAATCCAGAAGCATGGGTTTTGGAATCAGAGAAACCACAATGACTCTTGCATGGAAGAAAATTCTGTCACCTCTGGGCTCTGCAGCTTCATCTCTAAGATGGGACTATGAGCGCTTATGTCATAATGTTTTATGACCATTAAATAAGATAATGTATGTAAAGTGCTTAGCACACACTGTGCACATTTAAATAGCAGCCATTTTATTACCTGCCTTTCTGACTCCTCGGATTGCTTTTCGCAGTCCCCTCTTGCCCAGGAGTTTCCAAGTATTGAAAGCACTGGTGTGGTGACTTGGGGGTATAGAAGGTGGGAATTGCCTTCCCGTTGTATGAGGGAGAAGATGGAATGGTAGTATCTTGGCACAGAGTATCCAGAACAATTCTATTTTGTAGCCTGCCACCCACCCCTGAGCAAACTCCCCTCTGAAACAAGACTTTTCTTTATTCACCAGATGGCTCTCCAATTTCGTTGAAGTCTGTGAGTATAAAACTGAATAGTAAAATTTAATTGTAACCCAATAGGTTAGAGTTTAGGACCCAATGATACGTTGAAATTGGGAGTGTATGATTTACCATTATATTTTTAAAGGATTGGTGCATGCCTAGTGCCTAGGAAGTCCCCTTCTCTGAACATCTAGATTTCACCCAGGGGTCACAAAAGGGGGCCTGGTAGTCTGCTCTCCACTCTCTCAAACAAGAGAACATCTATGCCTTCACACTTGCCAGCGATATGGCTGGAAGGGCTGGGAAACACTGCTTTAGATTCATCCATGGCGTCCCTCCAAATGCTTTCCTACTCAGAATACTAAGAGGGAGGAACTATTCCAATGGTAAAGAGGGGTTGGGAACAAATAAAAAACTCACAATCCACACATTATCCCTGGATCTCACATAGCCCCGGGCTAATGTGGGACAGTAAAAGTTGATTTCTGTCCACAAGCAGTTAATTAGTGAGTTTATTGGAAATGAAAAAGCCATATGTTCTCGGTCTAGACCCAACGAATCGAAAGCAGGATCTTGAACAGACACTTGCACACCCGTGTTCACAACAGCATCGTGCACAGCAGGCAACGGGGGAAGCGGCCCATGTCCTTGGCCGCGTGAGCAATGAACAAGATGTGGTTGTATTAATGCATGCGATGAAATACCATTCGGTCTTCAAGAGAAAAGAAATTCTGACCCATGCCGCAGCATGGATGAACCTTGAAGACATTGTTTCAGTGAAATAAGCCAGTCACAAAAGGACAAATGCTGTATGATCCCACTCATTCAAGGTACCTGGCGCAGTGAAATTGGTAGAGAAAGAAAGCAGAATGGTGGTTGTCAGGATCAGAATGAAGAGAGAGATGCAGAGTTGTTGTTGTTGTTGTTGTTTTTAATTTGCCAGAGGGCATATGCATACACCAGAGAGAAAGAAAGAGAGAGAAAGTGAGAAAGCACTCTCCACGGAGAATGGTCATGCCATAATCCCATCTCCTCCATTTCTCCCTCCTTTGGGATTTTGGGCACACATATACCCAGAGTGTTTTCAAGCCGGTGAGTCCAAGACTCGAACTGTATGGTCAGCCATGTGGGATCCAGCCCCCTTAATCGCTACACCACCAGTTGCCCCGGGATCTATTCTCTAATAGCAATATAGAGTATAGAGTTTGAGAAGCTAAAATAGTTCTGGAGATAGAGGATACACAACAATGTGAATATACTTAATGCCACTGAGCTGCCGGTTGAAATGGTAAATTCTCTGTCACTTATATTTTACCACAATTGGAAAAAAAAAAAAAAGCTGAATGATCTGCCTGATTCGGAGCCCACACCTGATGATTAGCCATGTTGCAGGCTTCATATTCAGGGAAACTGGTGATGTTGGTTGTTGACTCTGTCGTGAGCAGGAGGCTGGGATCAGAAGGTCTCCTCACTGCCCCTCTTTCTTTTTCTTTTCAGTGAGAGAAAGAGAGAGAGTGAAGGAGAGGGAGAAAGAGAGAGTGACAGAGAGGTATTTTCAACAGGGTCTTGCCACGTCTTCAACAGTCTCCCTGTTAGCAAGGGCCACAGGTGTGTGCCACCTGTGTGCCACCCAGCTAGGTTGGGCCAGGAATTGAACCCAGGCCCCCATGCAGCCTCGGTCACTAATAGTGTGTCCTCTCTCTCTTGCACCTGCAGCCGAGCCAGAGAGTCTCCCTTTTTTGATAAAGAAAAAAATATAGAGAATACTCAGGTCTGGAGGGAAATTTTAAGGTATCAGATGAGGAAGAGGCCATGATAAGGCATGGTAATGTGGGGGAGGAACAGCCTGGGGTAGGGTATTCACCAGAAGAACAGCTTGTGTGAGAGGTGGCTGGCCCGGAAGTGTTCATGCTGGATGGCGGGTCAGCCAGGTTTGGCGTGGTCTTAAAAAATCCAATTGAAAAGTTATTCCCTTGAAGGCAACCTACCCAGACTTTTCAAAGTAGTGGAAAAAGAGAGAGAGAGAGAGAGAGAGAGAGAGAGAGAGAGAGAGAGAGAGAGAATAATGCTGTATGCTCATCTTAACTGAATTCTTATTTAGATTATCAACCATCTCACTCATGGAGGGGTATGAGGATATTCCAACATGATTTCTCTTCCAGGACTGCCGTTTATGCTCTGATGTGGGTAGACATGCAGGCTTTCTCTTATGCCCTCATTCACCATTTCCTGCATACCTACTATGTGCCAGGCACTCTGCTCTGCTGGAGGTTAGAATTACAAAGATAAACAAGGTATGGGCATAGTCTACATATCCAACCACACTCTCACTCACACACACACGCACACACGCACACATACACGACTTTCTCATCTTTTAATCACTACTATGTTTCACTAAAACCAGAAGCTTGCATACCCTTCAGTGCTCTATGAACACTGGCATTTTATTTATTTTTTAAAGAATTCTTTCTTTCTTTCTTTCTTTCTTTCTTTCTTTCTTTCTTTCTTTCTTTCTTTCTTTCTTTCTTTCTTTCTTCTTTCTTTCTTTCATTTTTCTATACAGCACATGCACCCCAAAGAAAGGTAGATAGATAGAGAGAGGGAAAGTGAGAAAGCAAGCCACCAGCTCTGGTCTTGAACCATGGTGGCCACGTGGGAGTTCAGCACCTTAACCACCACACCACCTGCTGGCCCCAAACACTGGTGGTATTTTTAAGCAAACAAAGGTGAAAGTGGAGAAAAGATTAAAGGATGAGAAGAACGAGTGGGAATAAGAGGAGCAAAAGTAAGAAGTAAGACCAAGGAAATGGACAGATGAAAGTATCATGACAGACCAGCACTTTTATTTGCACAAATAGCACACATGTAAGTACACGCATACACATGCACGTGTTTAGTCAGAGAGGAAATGTGCATTACCACTGAGGACGCAGAAACCACTGCCCACAGCCTCTGAAGGTGCCCCACGGTATCTATCAGCCAAGGAGCCAAGACAGAAGCGCCCATGACCTCACTACAGAAATGCACGCTCACAGGCTTCGCTTGACAAGAAGCTGAAGCAATGTGTGCTACCAACGTCCCTGAGCAATTGCTGTGTTTGATGTGAGCCTGCTCCAGCCTCTTAGTAAGCCCTTGTAGGTGTTCCATTATGCACCAGTATTTGCAAAACCCACAACTCATGAGTAACGGGTCGGCTGTTACTTCACAGACAATGCAAATCTTGAATTCAGTCTTATTTTCCATTGTTGTTATTTTGGCCAAAGATGTTTGATTGCCCCCGTTTTTTTCTTCATATTTGATCCATTCTAAAAAAATATCCAGAACCATAGGTAGGCCACTGATGTGGCACTCCGGAAGTCTAGTGCCTGTCTAGTTTGTCATTGGGACCAAGGACTCCAGAGTCTAACTGCCTGGCTTCAAATCCATGCTCTACTCACTATCAGTCATTTGGCCTCAGACCACCATTAACCTGTGAAGTGAGCCTGCCTACTCCAGAGGGTTCTCGGGGGGTTAAATAAATGAATGCATGAGCAAGTGCTTAAAATTGTGCCAGAATATTAATAACAGTCAACCAATAAAGATCACTCTTTATAATGATTATTTTCCCCTCATTTCCTCATTTGCATGTTTTGCTTTTCTCTGGTATTTATCTTTATAAGCCATTCCAAAGTCCTTTTGGAACAAAGCACAGTATGAATATATGCATAAGCCAGATACTATGCTAGACAGTCAGTGGGATGAAATGTTCAGGAGATGAGGTCCCTGCTGGTGGGAAAGACACTTGTGTTTTTATCGTTCACATTTCTATCCCCTTTCCAGCGATCACTTATCTTTCACAACTAAACACCAAGTGGTGAAATCCCTTATGCATTTACTGAGCATCAGCTAAGTGGTAAGAGCCTTTGTATAATGGTTTCCTAAACAAGGCTCTATGAACTCTCTAAACTTATTTACCATATTTTTTACTCCTTTTTAAAAATTAAGTTTATTTATTTATTATATGATAGAGAGATATCAGAGACATAGACAAAGAGACAGCACCCCCAGTAAGGTCCCCATGGTATGAGCCACCCACAGTCCCAGCTGGCCCAGATCACAGGCATATACCTGTACACTCAGGGTGCCAAGGGAGGCCCCAGGATATGAACCCAGGACCTCTCTGTCTGGTGTGGGTTCAGCTGTGACACCACTGTATCACCACTGCTACCATCTGGCCCCTCATTTCACATTTCTATGTATATGTGCAGATTTTTTTTTTTTTTCTGGGAAGAGTGCCTCTAGTCTCCATTTGGTCCTCAAAGAGTCCCATGCCCCCTTAAAGGCCAAAGCCCTACTCACATCCCTGCTCTGAGATGCCCTGGCATGGCTCCATCCTCCAAAGGAGCTGGCTGGTGTCAATAAGCTGGGGGATATTGGGCAAGTTGCATCCCTTCCTTGGCCTCACTTTTCTCACCTCCTAATGAAAGGGCTAGACTTCAGGGTCGCCAACATGCTCCCCTGCTCTTACACTAGGCTGGGGTCCCCCTCTCACCTCAAGGTCCCGGAGGACAGGGTGGTCCTCTATTCCCGGAAACAGCACCCGCATGGTGTAGGTCCTGTAGTCCAGGAAGGGAATCCCGGCTCCATCCAGGTCACTGGTCAGCTCATGGATGTCCGTCTGTAGCTCCGCAAATGCTGGCACAAAGAGAAGCCTGTGAGACCACTGGACGGACAGGCCTAAGAGTTACCCCCAGGAACTGGGTATGCTTAGAACCCTCACCCAGGCCCCTAGGAGAAATGAGCAAGAGGCTGTGAATGTGCATAAATAACTTGGGGAGGGTGGGATTCAAGTAGCCAGATGAGTGGCATTAGCATTAGCTGAGTCCCTTTTGCAGGCGGCAGGAGAATGAGGCTCTGCTTAGATCCATGCCGCCACTGGGGCCAGGATGGCCTTCCCACCAGAAGAAGGGCTCTGGTTTCAAAATGGGCTAAAGCAGGGGTTCTTAGAGAGAGAGAGGGGAACGAAGAACTAGGTTCCAGGGATGACGGGTCCATTCCTGTAGGTTGTAGTGAGTTTCCTTCTAAGATTAAGAACATTTTTTTTTCTGAAAAAAGAAAGCATTTGAAAGCCCAGTTCTGGTCTCTGTGACCCCCTGGAGCCACCAAACCTCCAATGGGCTCACACAGAGTCTCTGCACCTTGATATAGTCCTCCTGCCTAAAGGTGCAGGGTCTGCCTTTGTCCTTCCTTCCTCAAGGTGAGTCTATCTGATGGTGAATTGCTCTCTCTGGAGGTAGCTCAGGCCTCCAGATGGACAGAGCTGTAAGACCCCAGGTGACCTCCAGAGAGTGTGCACTGTAGCCCAAGGCTGCCTGTACAGCCTAAAGCCACCATCATGTTCTATCTGGGCCTGGCACACTCTCCTCTGGGTCACCCTCTACCAGGTGGTAGCCTGGTGAGAGTGAGGTGAGTTGCCCTGCCCTGCTCTGCCTTTCTCCCAATGCATGCACATCTGCATGCACACACACATGTACCTACATGCATGCACACTTGAGCACATGAACACACACAACCAGGATGGATTAACAGAGACTGGCAAAGAAAAACAACAAGTACACATTGACTATCCAATATTTCTTTCTATTTATATAAACTTAATAAGGAAAATTAGCTCAGAAGGGGTTCCCAAGTCCAGTATGACTCTAGGGCCCTGAAAAGCAAGCCCAGAGCCCTGCGTCCTGTGACCATCAGAGGAGCACCACACAGCTCCCTGTCTCTCTGTCTCTAGGACCAAGCTACAGGGGTTGGCCCCATCTTCCTAGTGACTTTGGTGGCTGGAGCTCCTCTGGGCAGAGCTGGGTTTAGGCCCACAATCTCAGCTTTTGGTGCCAGGAGGATGCCAAGGAGGTGACAGAGGGGACAGGGCCTAGATGCCTGGAGAGGCCACTAGAGACCCTCCTGTTGCTTCTCTCTCTCTCTATCCTCACACCTCTGCTCTGGTCACTTGGTCCCTGAGGTTCCTGTCATGTAGAGTGACCCAAAACCTGGAGTACAGACACAAATGGGAGTCAGAAAGTCTTTTGGGTATGTGCTGGCACCAAATTGCTGATGAACACTCATGTACGCCCTGAGGAAGAAACACGTGCATGTGTGCTTGTAGTCATGTGTGGGGATGTCTGCAAGAACATGACTGGGAGTGTGAGAGGGCTGGTCTGAATGTGTGAGCATATCAATGAGTATGTGTGGGTGCATGACTGTGTATGGGTGAGCGTGAGAATGAATGCATGAGTGTATGAGAGTGTTTAAGGATGTGTGGGGTGTGAGGGTTGTGTGGAATGGCAATGTGTATGTGCAGGTGTTCATATGTGTCTATGTATCAAAAGCTCGGCCCCAGGTCCAGCAGGTGGTTTGGTGGTTAACATGCTGGATCCCACATGGCTGACAGCATGGTTCAAGTTCCAGATCCAGTGACCTGTAAAACACGCCAGGTGCATGTGCACACATGTCCAAAACCCAAAAGGACAATAGCAAAGGGATTATGGCAGGCTATCACCCGAGGGGTGATTTCTCACTAACTCCCATCTCTGTTTCTCTCTCCAGCAAGCATGTAACCCCCATCTCTGTTTCTCTCTCCAGCAAGCATGTGCAGCAAAAAAATCTGAAAAAAATAAAAATAAATAAAAATAAATAAACAGAAACCTGAAAGCTGAGGCTGAGGCACAGTGGCACATGCTGCTAAGACATTGTGCTCTACAGGCTGGGACTGCACGGCAGACCTGGGTTAGAATTTGGGTCCAACCTCAAGGGACCAGCAGTTAGCATAATGGCTATGTCACTGGACTGCCACATAGTCGAACGTGGGTCGCGTCCCCGAC